ATTTGGATAATGAATTGGTTTCTTTTAAACCTATGAATCATATGACTTGATCGCGTTGAAATACAGGGTGTTAGGGAAATAATATTCGTAATTCTAAGATGTGATTCCTTGCATTATTCTAAGCAAAAAAGTTCATTATAACCTATGCCCGAAAATCAACCATTTCGGAGGAAAAAAATGCTAATTTTATTTCTTTTTAGTCATAAAATAAATTAATTTTGTACCTTAATAATTTAAACTCATATGTCTAATAGCGTAAAATGTATCAATACATCTATTTATTAATTAACTGTCTCTAACAAAATAGTTTTCTTGCTTATCAAATACAATTTTCCTAAGAAAAACAGACAAACAAATCCTTCACACAACTGGCAACGTCGTACTCCACCTGCTCTGCATGTATCATCACATGTTGTTGTGATTACTAATCCTTTGAACTGTAACTTTATGTGATTTATGGATGTTGTCTTTTTTCTTTTTTTGTGCATCGCATCGTTTCAAATAAGTGACTGATCATATTGGGAATTGGTAGTGTGCATCGCCATGAACCGGTAAGTTCTGTCATTTTTTTAAGTAAATGCGTTATTAAATAAAAAATATTCAACAATTCAACGCATATTTCCAACAAAAATATCATACAAACGTAAACAAGTTGCGTTGCAGCGTTGACAAATGTTTGACAAAATTTAATTATTTACGATTCATTTTTCCCGAAAACGATTGATTTTCGGACATAAGTTATAATGAACTTTTCTGCTTAGAATAACGCAAGAAATCACCTCTTAAACTATGAATATTATTTCCCTAACACCCTGTATATGTATTCTGAAAAAGGGATGTGTTGTGACGTGGAATTGAAAAAGTCTCTCTATACGAGTATATACGTATAATATTAATGCCATGCATATTCCCTCTTCGTACGAATTTGTTTACTAAATATGACGGTGTTTTTGAATGAGACATAGGAGCTGGTACTTATACATTTTATCAATTTTCATCCATTTGAGCTCATTAATGGCCTTCGATATATGATCATACTTTCTGAGATCATTTACATGCACTTTGAATACGATTTCTTGTTGTAATATCTGACTAGGGATAGTAAACCATTAAGCAATACATCTTTGAAAACAAGAAGCATTCACACAATTGCTTTCTCGCAGATTTATCTAATATAGCCTTATCTGCAATTAAAATCCTGAGAATAGCGTAGCACTGAGAAATTAGATAGTTTACATGTACAACAAATTTTAAGTCAACATCCATTATAATAGCTAGGTTGTTCGAATGATCCACCGGAACTAATCTATTACCTTTTAAATGTATGTCTATGTCATTTTTTAAAGCATTCCTTTTTGTTCTACTTGCGTATACCAAAATATTTGTTTTTAGAGGGCTCAATCGAAGATTATGACTACCACTAAACTTTGCAATTTGGGCAAGGTCTTGATTAATTTTATTATTTGCTGTTTCCAAGTCCGTACTCCTAAGTTAATAAAAAAATTGAGTCATCATCGGCAAACAATTGTATGCTGCATGATTTCACCGCTGCTTCTGAATCTGAGACATATAATTAATTGTTCAATTGACTTACCTTAAGGAAAATTGAACCATATTATATGAGTATTGCCGTTCGAAGAATTACAAAGTAACCACTTGTAGTAGCAATTTTTCCCGCTCGCACCAGCACGAAGTTTAAAGCAAAAATATTCTCCCCGCCCCTGCCCATACCCGGCATAGACCGGTACCTGATCTCCTCTACCAAGACTCGTCACTGCAATTTACCCAGCTAATCCCGATCGGAACAGTGGGAGGGATGAAAAACAATGGGTGGGTTTGTAATTCTTCGAACGGCAATACTCATATAATATGGTTCAATTTTCCTTAAGGTAAGTCAATTGAACAATTAATTATATTTCGTATTGCCGTTCTCGAATTACAAAGTAACCACTTGTAGATGTTCAAAGAAGAGTCCGAATCGGGATCATGGCTCCATATTTATTCCGTAAAGATCTAATAGAGGGATCTAAACAAAACAATTCAATAATACTATCTTCTAATACAAATTATTATATTATGAACAGTTAACTACTCTCTCTTCAAAAAGTAGTATAGAATTTGGATCAAACTCTATTAATCCATAAAAAAAAATATATTAAACTGAGCTTAAACTCAAGATACCTTTATCAAAGGCCGTAACATCACTACAAAGAGGGCGATTATAAAACTTAGCAAACATTTCTGATTTTTGCGTCCAACCAGCCCTCTCTCTTATCATTTCAATAGAGACTCCAGCTTTATAGGCTGCAGATGTAGCTGCATGCCTAGTGCTATAACTAGAAAATATAGAGGTATCAATACCGCCTGCTTGAAGGGTCAGTTTGATCCATTTACTCAATCTCTGTGTAGAGAATGGGCGAATAGGTCTTTTAACTGTTAAAATAAGAAAATCAGTATCAAGTGGGCGTATGCCTCTGGTTTTTATTTCATAGAAATCGATAGTTGAGGCTAAACAAATGCTTGGGTTTTCCCGAAAATATGGGATCACTAAAAGGGGTTGAAGACCCTTGGAAGATGAAGTTTTGATTCGATCCGTAATGTTAATTTCTATTCTATCAGTATTGCGAACTATATTTTGTTATCGTATATAAGTGAACGTTTGTAATCGATGGCCAGTAATTAAAGCTAACAAAGTAACTAACTTCATAGTCAATTGCCTAACAGATATTTCTGTTAAGGGATACAAGGTAGATAAGTACTCTAAAACTGGTTGAGGATCCCAAGTTGATTGATACTTAGGTCTTGACGGTCTCTGATTGAAAATTACTTTAAGAAACCGTTTTAGAATAGTTTTATCTGAGTTATTTATCTCAAAAATCAAAGCTAATGCCGCATACTGTGAGTTAAGTGTTGCGTAGGAACAATTGTTTTGAAATTGATCACTCAAAAAATTAATGACTGCGTCTAATGAATACAAAAAAGGAATATAGCCTTTGCTTATGCAAAATTGCCACCACTTTTTTAATTGCGATGAATACTGTCTCAAGGTAGATGGACTAAGCGATGCCTTGATTGCTTGGAGCCCGTTTTCTGGCACTCCTCGTCTGAGAAAAACTTCCCCGATAAACTCCCAGCCTCCAGGGAAAGTGTTCTCCACAGTGGATGGCATCCCCTAGAAGGGGAAGAGAGAAGGGCTTTATTAGGCGAAAAGATTATAGATCTTCCTGTCAATAATTTATGGAAAACGGAATACCACGGTTGAGTTGTCCAACTAGGAACCACAAGAATTCCACAAGCTTGCTCAACAATAATTTTTTTGTAGGCATTTTGATATGAGTGAGAAAGGAGAAAACGCATAAAAAACTCTTTTCTCCAAGACACTGTAAATGCATCAACTGTAAAGGAACTAGGATCTGGTTTCCAAGAAATATACCTAGGAACTTTGGCATTTAACTGTGTCGCAAATAAATCCACAGTCGGTTTCCCGAAACTAGAAAAAATTTCTCGAAAAGCCAAACTCGATAACTCATATTCTAGGTTGATAGATTTCGAGCGAGATAATCTATCTGCATATAAATTATCTGTTGTATTTATATATGAAGCAACTATGAAAATTTGTCTATTCTCACACCATTCCCAAATCTGGCGTGTGATGTTATTAAGGTGCTTATATCTTACACTACCCATATGATTTATGCAAGCTATAGCCGTTACATTGTCGATTCTAAGAAGAATTGAACAAGAAGATATATTGGAGGCAAAGGATTTAAGTGCATTAAATGCGGCTAGTAACTCCAAATAGTTAATGTGTCTGTTAGCATCGTCCACATTCCAAAAACCGTTAGTACCTCTATTCTGACAAAAGGCACCCCAACCAGTTAATGAAGCATCTGAGAAAATCTCAAGTATGAATTTTCTATCTGTAACAATAGCTACACCTTCATTATTTATAAGAGTGTGATGCCACCAACATATTTCTGATCGCATTATTTCTGAAATTATTACTGAGGTATTGAAATTTTGCTCGTGTCTTTTTAATGTTACATATTTAACTCATTCTAAAATCTTAAGGTGCATCCAACCATATTGTACAGTCGGGCAAACGGAAACTAGTTTTCCTATTAACTGAGCTAAAACTAAAACAGAACACCGATTGCGGCGTAGAAAAGTCTCTACTAGTTCCATCATGTTTTTCACTTTTTCTGTTGATAAGGACACCCTTAAATTTGTGGAATCAAAAACAAAACCTAAAAAGGTACATTGTTTGGCTGGGATCATAGAGCTTTTATCGTAATTTACTAAGAATCCTAAATATTCTAAAATATCCTTAGCAATTTGACAGTCTTGCTCAGCTGTTTGTATTGACTTACTGATAATTAATAAGTCATCTAAATACAGTACACAAATTATACCTCTAGTCCTTAAATATTTAAGGATTGGTTTCATAATTTTTGTAAAGACCCATGGGGCTGTACAAAGACCAAAAGGTAAACAATTAAAATGGTAATATACACCTTGAAATTTGAAAGTGAGGTATTTTCTGAATGTCTGCACCGGTATCATAAAATAGGCATCTTTTAAATCTATTTTAGTGAAGAAACAGTCATTATAAACCAATTTGAGGACAGTCCTGAAATTTTCCAATTTAAAGTGGGGTGGTTCTAAAAATTCGTTTAATTCCTTTAAATTTCGAATAAACCTGAATGCCCCACAAGGTTTCGGTATTAAGAAAAACGAGGACAAAAACTGCCCAGGTTTTGAGGTAGTTTTGGATACTGTTCCTATGTTTCTCAAAAGTCTTATGCTGTCCTTTAATTTATCTGATTCCTGCAGCCTAAAAGCAGATCCAGGTAAACGCCTTTGCTTAGGTTTCTTAACAAAAGGCATTTTATATCCAGATAACCACGAAATAATAGTAGAATCTTGTGTAATGTTTGCCCACTTATTTACATATGCAGATAAGTGACCCGCATACATATCGCAAAGAGTATGTACCTTGTCTACTGCTTCCGGTATGACCTTGCTGAACGAAACCTCTCCGCCTCCTTTTTCATGCGAGATTTGTGTTGCTGGCGCCGGGAGTTTAAAGACGACAGGACCCTCGACGGACCTGGCTTGGGCTCCAATTTCTTATAGACGATTGGTTTGGAAGATGATGATCCCAGAGCTTTTTCCTTCTTCTTGATTGAAAATCCTAATCGTTGAGCTTCACTTGCGGATTTCCATTGGTCCGGGAATGTTTTTCCAAATAAAAATTCATCAATTGGGCAAGTATCAGAAAATTTGCGAACGTTGCCATCCAAAAATGGTAGGATGGAATAACGACGATGAAGAGAAATCGCGTGAAAAACATCTGCGATTATTGTTAGTGGAGCACAGCATTTTTCCAAATCAGCTCGTGTTTCGTCTGTAGAATTCGATTTCGTTATTTCATATTGCTTATCGAAGCCGACGGCCAGTGCACTTATCCCAGATGCTAACTGTAATTGAATGAGGAATGTATCCTCTTTAACTGCATTTGTACTTAAACAAGATCGAACCTCTGGGTTAATCACTGGAGGCTGAAGGGCTTGACAGTTTGCCAAACATGGATAAGATTCCAGAGTAGTTTTGCGAGATTATTTATCAATTCCCTTGTTTTGAAAGAGTTACATACTATGTATTCAATACCAATATACCAATAACATTGCCAACAGTAATTCATGTGAATACTGTAAGTCAAGAAGTCGCCATTCGGTGCATAGCACATGTGTACATACGCATACCCGAGATGTATTTTGAAAACAATCAACTATTCATGCCAGTAATTCATGTGAATACTGTATATCAAGAAGTGTTTAATCGGTACATAGTACATGTGTACATGTATATCCGAGGGGCACATTGAAATTAATCAACCATTTTAATACTAGTAGTTCATGTGAATACTGAATATCAATAATAAACAGGAACCTGATAGGCACATAGCACATGTGTACTTATGTTTTCATTGAATGAATTGGGGCTAAAACAGAAGGGAACAATTAATTACAATATACTTACTTGAACTATCTAAAAGTTGCAGCAATTGGTGTAACTTTTTTCTGTGTTTACGCGTAACTTTCTTTGTTACGCGACCCATCTTTCTCTCCGTCCTGCTGCGAGCGCACGAAAAATTGCAGTGTCGAGTCTTGGTAGAGGAGATCAGGTACCGGTCTATGCCGGGTATGGGCAGGGGCGGGGAGAATATTTTTGCTTTAAACTTCGTGCTGGTGCGAGCGGGAAAAATTGCTACTACAAGTGGTTACTTTGTAATTCGAGAACGGCAATACGAAATATAATGAAAATAACAGGGATCTTCAGACTGCTCCCTGTGGTACACCAGAACAAATGTTTTGTGCGGTAGAGTACTGTTGATTTAGACGAACGCTTTGATACCGATTTTCAAGGTAGATTTAAATAAACGAAAGAGGTTTTTCAGAAAATCCATAATAATTGCATCTAGACACAAGAAGTGAGTGATTAATTGTGTCAAATGCTTTTCTAAAGTCAAGTATGAGAGATACTGCTTATTGATTGCCAAGCGCTATTGTTATATTGTCTGTTAAATTACAGAGTAGCGAAGCTATATTATGATCCGAAATCTAGATTGTTTAGATGGAATAATTTTGTGAGAATATAAGTAGGGGCAGAGCTGCTTGTAATCAACGCGTTCCAATACTTCAGAAAAAATAGCTAGTAGATTCGATCGGTCTCAGTTGACCACCATAGTTAGTAAGAATAGAACACTTAGGTAGCGGAACAACTATAGCGTATTTCTACTGATTGTGGAAATATCCCCTCTCTAAACAGCAGTTGATAATATGTGTTAAGTACACATCAATTTCAGATATACCTAGTAGTATCATATGCAAAGTTATTCCATCTGAACCACTAGAATTTGATTTTATTTTATGTATAATTTTAACTAAGGTGTCAGTAGTCACTGTACTAAAGTGAAATTTGGATTTTGAGTTATTTTTATTAGCTCGGTAATATGCAATTTTATCAGCACAATCCAAATCACTATTCGAAAATCGAAATTTACTTTATACGGATTTGATAAGCTCACGGGAATTGTAGAATCTTTCTGAAGTTGCACTTTGAAAGACTTTAGGGTTTTACGATGACGTTTTTACTTTGACAAAGCTTCAGCTCTCTGCTTGAATACAAATTTAATATTATCATCTAACCAAGGAGCTGGAGCTTTGTTTACACAAGCACCACCTTTTTTGGACAGTGGACATTTAATAAACCTAAAATACTATCTTCAGTGTCATATGTATATCGATATAATATGCCACCATAGAAAACTGTTAGTTCATGGTCGACTTGAATTTATATTCTGAGACCAAACAAACAACTCGAATCGCGAATAAATAGTACCCGGCTATTCAGAGAAACCATAAAGATGAACTTTGATTTAGACAAGTGTGTGGTGGTCCAAATCAAAAAGGGATATTTGTCAAACAATTGAGACAGGGTGTGTAACATAGATTTCCTAGGGCCATAAGATACGTATAAATATCTTGGAATCAAGCAGAACAGAGGTATCCCCCATACAACTCTGAAGAATGAGCTTACAGACAAGTACAAAGGACGATTAACGAAAATCTTCAATAGCAAGCTTTGATATGTGTCGAAATCAAAGGAAGAAGATAATAATATCTGAAGACGGAGCTGTAAGTGATAACCTTCAGTCAAACCTGCAACTGGTCGGTCTAACTAACGGACTTACATCCTCTATGCAAAAAGCAATTATCCTACAAACCTGCCATCTAGTACGAAAATTCGTAGGTGTATAAGGTCAGTTGGTTGAAGTGTTTCTCAGCTGATATATATCCCAGCATTTCAGCTGTGGCGAGTTTATAGAAATACCCTAAATAATAATAATAATAATAATAATAATAATAATAATAATAATAATAATAATAATAATAATAATAATAATAATAATAATAATAATAATAATAATAATAATAATAATAATAATAATAATAATAATAATAATAATAATAATAATAATAATAATAATTGCACGGACAGTTCTTCCGACAACTCGAGAGAACAGAGGTAGATAAACGTGGAAGTGTCAGTTGGTTGAGAAGCTCTACGCTGAAAGCGGAAACAGAAGCTCTGATAGTATCTGCACAAGATCAAGCATTAAATACAAGGTACCATCAAAAGTATATACTAAAACAAAGTATAGACAGTAAATGTAGAATATGCAGGTAGTCCGACGAACATATCAGCCATATAGTAGCAGGTTGCCAAGTACTAGCCCCTTCAGAGTATACCGCTAGACATAACAATGTAGCTAGTTACGTTCACTGGAAAATATGTGACTCGTTTGGTATTCCAGTTACAGATAACTATTATCAGCATGAAATCCAGAGTGTCACCAACATCAAGAATGACACCACAGATGTATGTATTATGTGGGATGTGCCGGTAATAACGGATCGGACAATAAAAGCAAACCGACCTGACATTATAATTCATAACAGAAAGGAGAAAACATGTCAACTAATTGATATAGCGGTTTCCGACGATTCCAATGTAAAATCGAAAGAAAATGAAAAGATATCTAAGTACAGAGATCTCCAGATAGAAATACAGAGGATGTGGCATGTGAAAGCTTGGATAACTCCTGTCGTTGTCGGTGCATTAGGAACTATCACCAAAACCTTCCACGGAAATTGTGACTCAATACCCGGTAAACCAGCACTCTACCAAATTCAAAAAACGGCACTACTAGGAACAGCGCCTATACTAAGGAAGGTGCTTGGATAGTCTCTTTGATACCTGGTTGATATCTGGTCTATCCTTTATTACCAGACAGATACGTCTGTGGAAGAAAAGAATAAATAATAATAATAAAAATAATAATAATAAAACAGTTGATTATAACTGGCCAGACATACTACTGATCGACAAAAATAAACGGAAAGCATACATAATTGATATCGCAGTTCCACTCACAGTAAACATAATCAGAACCGAATACACCAAGGCTGATAAGTACCAAAACCTTGCCATTGAAATCAAAAACATTTGGAAACTATCAGAGGTCTGCATAATACGAGTAGTAGTGTCTGTGGAAGGGGCAGTCTCTGTAAATCTCCACTCTCACTTAGAGAAAATCAAAGTTCCAGCGCATTTTATTGCATTGATGCAGAAAGCCGCAATCTTGCAAACATGTCACATAGTTCGCAAGTTCTTCGCAATAGGCTGAGGTGAATTCCTCCCCTGTTGTGTACATACCCCGTGTGTAATGGTGAAAGACCAACCAAAAACGAATAATGATAATAATAAATAATAATAAGGAAAAGGAACAAGAAGGTGTAAAGCTCATCCTTTAGTCAGCAAAATGGTAGTCACTGTGGCCAAAACACGGAGGAAAAACTTATGCATGGCTGGGGTCGATTACCACTAAAGCGTTTGCTAGTCTACCCCATGAATGGATTGTGAAAGTACTGAAGCTATATCGAGTTTGTCCAACTATATAAAGTTTATAGAATGTTCAATAAAATCATGGAAAACCGAAATGCGCCTATACCACTTTGAAGGATACATAAACACCGGACGTATAGGCGTTCAGCGAGGCATATCTCAAGGCGATTCGCTCTCCCCTCTGCTGTTTTGTATTTCACTAATTCCATTATTCCGTATGCTAAACAGAGAAAAAACTGATTTTGTTATAGACGCAAATAATACAGGTATCATCTGTTATACATGGATGACCTGAAATCATTTGCCAAAAATGAGAACGATTTGCGTTGCGCTTTAATGACAGTGAAAAAATTCTCGGATGATATAAATATGCATTTGGATTGGATAAGTGTGCAACAGCAATAATCAGAAGGGGTAAACTGACTAAGGCACAGAATATTAATCAAGATAAAGCAACTACAATAATGGACATGGAGTCTGAAGAAACCTATAAATATCTAGGCACTGAAGAAGTAGATGGAATCGAAGATGAACATTCCAAGTCCAAAATATCGATGCGCCTGATTCTTAAGACATAACTATGCTCCAAAAATAAAATATCCGGCATCAACTCTTTCGCTGTGCCTGTACTCAGCTACAGCTTTGGAATTGTCAATTGGCTGGAGTCAGATATTCTGAGAATTGACCAGAAAACCAGGAAGCTATTGACAATGGCACATATATACACCATCAAATGGAAATAATAAACCGTCGTTTATTTGAAAAAACAAATTACAGATAATGCATATATTATTATCTATAATTAGATTAGTGAGCAGCTTAATGGCGAAGTTTAGCTATGACAGCTATTCTTACACTTAATCATTTACTGCATAAGAATAATAGATGGTGAAAAGTACAGCTGTAAAGAAAATAAAAGGAGGAAAATGCCCATGTAACTGATCACAACCTAAACAAAAATTAGCTTAAAAATATAACACCTTTAAGAAGCACCATTGAGCAGAAGAGC